AATAACAAGATCTGTCCTTCATCAGGCTCTTTTCTATCCTCTTGTACTTCTAGATGTATCTTCATACAGGAACAGGGATTTACACTGCAGTTTATCTTAAAAGACACTAGTTAATGAGGGCCTGAAAAGTAAAAGGGAGATAGAATATTAATTCTATAGCAATAAGTACAGGGCTAACTTTCTTGTATCACTGTTCCTTTTGATTACATTCAGGCAAGAACTGTATCCTTGTGTTTTCATATCGAGGTGTAAAGCATGGCTGTACAGAGCCTGTTTAAAAACAAATCAGCTGTTAACGGTGGCTTTGGATGGCCATGTCTCTGCAAGCACTGAGAAGAGGAAGGCAAAAGCTGATGAACTTAGCTGTTCTACAAACCCCTTCTCATAAGACAGCACTGTCTGAAGGAGCCAAACTCTTGTTGAACCTTAAGTGTGGTTACAATGGAGACACAGGTAGCAGATTAGTTTATACTGTTTTGAGCCCATTTCTGAGAATGAGGCAATCAAATGACAGTAACTCTGTCCAGTTCTCTGCCTCTGCAGAGGCTGTTTGTTGTGAGTGACATAGGTATATCATGGTATAGAGAAGGTGGAGGGACAAGCTTTCAGGGACAGGAAGTTATTCCACACTGTTTCTCTGGCTCTTCCACTTTCACAGTAGCCTTCAGGCTGTTTAGTACTGGGTGAGATTGTCCTCTGCCTTCTTCCCGGGACATTCTCTCAAGAAACAGAAGATGAACCTGTTGCTCAGCGTCGCAGTTTAATGCCTTCCTTTTAGGGGGCATCAAGCACTGCACAGCTCGAGAAGGAAGAGGTGGTGATCCTGCCAAAAAAACAAATGCAGCCAGAAGATGCAAGAGGAATTAACTGGGTGTTCATTCCTGGGAGACTTTAGGAATTGCCTCCCAACTGCCCCTTGAGTTTGTGCACCTTTTATGAGAAATCATAGGATCCTCGCCAAGATCCATCTAACCTGTGTCTGATGGTGAAAAATACCCCAAGGTTTGAAATAAGTCCAAAGAAAACAAACAGACTGGAGGTTATATTTTTCATTCTGAAGGATTAAATAACTTTGAAAATGGGTATTGTCTAAAACTATACAGCAGCCAAACCAGCCTGGATAAGATGGAGAAGGAGAGAGGAATCCTCCAAGCTTTACAGCATCTTTATCTGCTCTTTGGCAGTCTCTAATGCTCAGTGCCTTAAAATTATTTTCCTGCTGGTGCCTTACAAGGCATATGAGCTTGTCTTCAGTAACTATTACATGTCTGTCTTCATAGTTAACATCACTTGTTCCTGACAGCATCCAAGTCTATCTGATAAAGTTTTAATAAATTTAAGCTGTGAGATGTTCTCACTACTACAGCACTTGCAGTTTTGAGTTGAACTCTGCTTTGCTGGCTTTACAAGATTTTTTTATAGCCTTTTAATACTTTATTTGGACAGAAACACTCAAATGAATGTTAAATATTATCAGAAGAAATCTAATTTAGATTAGTTTAATTGTTGCCTAAATGTTGTTCTCTTTTTCTACTGCTAAAGCAGACAGTAACAGTTTTCCAGTTTAACACAGCATGGGATTATTTACCTAGACTACTTCAATCAATCTGTGTGTTGTTCTTTTCCCTGATGCTTCTACCACTTAAATCAGAAAAACAAAAAAATATATATGGCTGTCCCCTATTCAGGGCTTAATCCTTGCAATTGAAGGAATTTAGATACCAGTTATAGAGCAGATGACTTTTAAAGGTGGCTGAGCAGGAAGCCAAGGTCCAAGGGTCAAATCCCTGTACCCTGATGGTGGTTAGCACAGGAACCAATACATGGAGGTTCTACTGGTCAGAGCTAACATTTTGAGAAGAGCAGCACTAAAAGCTCTTTCCAAAAAATCTCAACAACTTCTTTGGCAGTTATCACAACTCAGTTTTCCCAGAATGTTAAGTTTTAATTTTTGCTTCTGACCTTTCTCCACAATGTTTGGACAGTTTAGAGATCTTCTGAGTTCTTGAGTTCTCATGTATTAAATCATCCTCAGCAGGCAGAACAGACTCTACGGAACTATTTTGGCTCTAGGGTTGGCTTTGAGTTCAAGTTCAATAGTAGAACTATACCAGCAAGTGGGCTTGCTCTGTTCAGAACCACTGTTCAGGAATATTCATATGCAGGCACTCATGGGATCCTCTTTCAAATTAGATGTGTAAAGCCTGGCTGTGTTTTCTCCCTCCTTCCCTCCACATTCTGTAAGATTTTCCTAAGCAGATGGGTGGACCGGGCAGGGACGATGCTTTCCCAAAGTGGTAATTTTCAAGTAAAGGTGCCTCACTGATGCAGTGTGAGGGCCTCAATTAGCTAATTCACAGGACAATGCAAGCATTGCAAACGCTTCACTAGGTCTTCTTGGAAAAGGTTATTTCATATCTGGATGTGGTCTGCAGAAGAAGTTAAATGCTATCAGATTCCATCTAAGACTATGAAAGGTACTATCTTAACAAGTGACAAAGTTTGTTGTTAAGCTATCATTAAACTATTAAACTAACATTAAACTACCCTGAAAAAAAATCCTTTTTTTAAAGCGCACCTGACCCACTGAAAGTTAATAAAGCTCTACTGTCAGACAGTTCTGAGAATTACAAGTTACAGATTGAAGTAGTGTCAGGACCACAGTTGGAAATATTCACAGGAAAACAAGAATAGGCCTACCTTAAAGCTATCTGTTCTTTAGACTACACAGCCACTGAATCTGTCATTTGAAGGCAGCTTTCCTAGCTAATCCGTCTATGCAGATTTAAAGTTTTCTGTTTCTTTTTCACATCATCTTGATCCCCTTTTCTAGGCTTCCCGCACAACAAATCAAGTCTTAGGATAGCTGAAAAGATTGTGTTTTTCATCAGCTGAACTGACCAATCAAAAGTCCTAAATTTCAGCTCACTAGCCAGGCAGAACAAAGGAACAGCAACATAAACTGTATCTTTGTTCTTGCAGCAAGATGTAGAAGATGACAACCTTTCACATAAAGAGTTTACACAAATAGCAAAAATGTAATTCTCAACTACACTAACCACCACAAATGTGCTCAAACTTCCAATATAGAATTCTTCCCTAGCAGAATAGTCAGGAATTCCTTCAAACTGAAATATTACACACTTTAAAAGTAAACCATTACCAAAAAAAGACTTTGAAGGCCAAATGTCATCATCATAAAAGCTGCAGAAGAACAGATGAACTTTAAATTACTATCACAGTTAGTCTGGTATATAACTTGGTTTAAATAAGCCTGAAGCAGCAAAGGAATGAGAGGGCTTTTAGAAACTTAGAGACGTTAAGGCTATAAGCCAGTAAATCTCATTTCCATAACAAATCAATAACTACACAAACACCAGAAAGAGTTGATTAGTTTTACTTATGCAGCCTGAAGGCATAATTGAGAGGTCTCTGAAGAAGGCAAACAGCAGGAAAATAAAGATGATGTGGTACGAAAAATATTCGGGAGTTTACAAAATGCCTTTCAATAAATATTTTGTTAAGAGCTCCACACTAACTGAATGAGGGATAAAATTCTCTTAACAACTGGTAAAAATGGATTAAACAATAAGAAAAAAAAATCTGAGGGTTCCTCACAGAGTTTCAGAGATAATGTGGTTAGTTAGATAAAGCCTGGAACTGCTGCAAAACTGCTTGGAACAGTCTAAAATAACTTCGAAAGATTTCATACTGCTGAATACCCAAGCAGTAGAGTGAGATTAAGTGTCAATAAATGCAAAGAAGAAACACATATGAGAAAAATAATACGTCAGAGTAAGCCGTGAGTTATATTTAAGGAAAGAAAACTTGAAGTTATCATAGCTGATTTTCTGTAAGTATTGATACAACAGTATATTAAAAAATCTGAGGCAGAGAGCAAAAACTGCACCACTCTAAATCCACTGTGTACTAAGTCTTACATAATGAGATCAGTTCTGGTCTCCTCCATCTTAAAGAAGGAAATTGGTTATTCAAGGCTATGCAATGACTTCTATTCCAGAAGACATTAAACAGACTTCTCAGCACTGAAAAAAAGATGATGAAGATCTATTCAATCATGCCCAGCACAGAAAAGGTGAAAAGGGTGAAATCTTCAATACGGCTCAAGAACAGGGGTTTATAGGTACCAAATGAACTCATGCAAGTTTCCAACTAGTGTTTTTTACATACTGAGTAATTCAGCTGCAGAACTCATTGCTCCAGGATATATCTTTCACCCGATGCTATAAAAGAACAACTAAATTACTGAAAAATAAAAGCTGTTCAAAGGCTGTTAAGGATGTATAACCTCTGGCTCACAAAATCTGAAATATGTAAGTTTCAAATATATTTGGCCACTATTCAGTGGAATAGAAAAAAAAAAAAAAAACTTCTATACCAACCCTGTTTCCTGCTGTTTTCCTCAACTGCTTGCTATTGACCAGTATCCAAAACGTCAGTATTGGGTTACATGGATTTCTAGTCTAGCCCAGTACAGCTGCTCTTAAAATCTTTATTGCATCTCACAGCAGAGAATACCAAAGTGAACAAATAAAGTCTATACAAAAGCAAGACTGGAAAGCTATTTCATTATTCTCTAGTCTAGGTAAGTGGAAAAAATTCCCAATTATTATTCCTAGATTAAGCAGCTGCACAAGTAACAATTTATAGTGCAATAGTACCACTTGATATCAAGGTTTTTCCCTCCCCCTCTTCTAAAAAAAATAGAAATTAAAGTATTCCTTTTCCAGACACAATTCAAACCTGAACTCTATTTTTAAAGGCAATACAATTTTACATCATAAAATAAGCAGATAAATACAGAAAGTATCTGTTCAATTTAAAAACAAAACAAGGCACCACGTAAAAATAAGCATCTCTGAATTGGATTTTTATTGTTTATTGCACTAAGGAACAGGAGGGCAGTTTCACAATTTCAGTTTCTGCTTTCAAAAGGTCTGTAGCATTAATCAAACTCAGGAGTACTTTTACCATTGGACTTTGTCAATTTGTTATTAAGACTGCACAGACATTAAAAAAAATCACTTAAATTCATTCCTTCATGGACAGTTCATCTTCTCTATCACAATGACATAAACGCTTGAAATTAAAACAATGCTAATATTTGATGAACATACAGGAAATGTCTCAGTCATGCATATACAGGAAAACTTTAACCATATAGAAATTGAAAAAAAAGCAAAATAAAAAACAGAACTACTATTTTTGCAATTGTGCCCATGTATTCACCTCTGAGACTGAAGTCCCCTACAGGTAAACAAGCAAAGCTCTCAGTCCTTCTCAAGCGCTTCACAGCTACAGCTCATTTCTAGGTAGAGGGGGATTTGCAAGTCCAAATGAACCACTATAAAGCCCAGTTAAAAAAGTCCTAGTACACTACGTAATGAATAGCTACTTGAAGATTATGGCTGTTCCTTATGGAGTGCAAAGTCAAAACATTTTGACCATTTGAAACCAATTTTTGTATTAATTTACATTTAATTTTCTTTAATTTCATTGTCCCAGTAAAATATAAGAAAACAGTCTTTCCACAGGTATAAAATGTGGAAATATTTTAAAAAGAGGGGAGTCATTTTTTCTAAAGCAAATGCAATCATCAGATTCCATATTTAGTCTTGATAACAGGTTCTTGTTGGAAAGAATCCATGTTTTGTGGCTTTTGCATGCACTTAACTGGAACAAAGCTCACTGAAAGTCTTCTTAAGAGCTCACCAAAACATAAATCATGCTGGAAAATAAAAGAAAGATATTAAGATAACAACATTTTGATTACTTTTAAACATCTCTCTCTCTCTCTCTCTCTCTCCCCCCCATATATATATAATGTTAAACATTGTAGAGTTTACATGTATTCTTCTAAGAAATAAATTGCTATGAGACACATGGATTGCAACCATACTGAAGTTTTTAGAAAACCAGCACACCCCATTTCATGACTTTTTAAAAAACTAAAATAATGGCATTATAAAATATGACATGGATGCAACAAGCTCAGCTGTCACTAGATCAACAAACATTAAGATGGGGAGTCCTGTATAAAGTCAATTAAGACATGGTAAAAGCCTTGGACTGTTCTAGTTACATTGTAGGAACTGCAGCACACCGAGAGAAAGGGGGACCGCACGCCGGTTCCCCTTGTTGCGCAGTGTGTGACACACAAAACACGCAGCACCAGGGGTGGCTGCTGGCTTGAGAGCAGGGGGAGGAAGGAAACCTGGAGGTTGCCCTGGCTTTTGTGGTTCCTACACCTTCCCCTTCTGGAGTGACTCTTCTGCCTTTAACACAAGTCATACCTACACCAAAGTGACCACTTACACTAGAAAATTACTATTCCAACTTCTTAACGGAAATACTGGGGATTTATTAAACTGGCCTTAAAGGAAGAAAGGCTTGGAGCTTTCAAGTTGCCAGTCAGGTTTTCTGAAGCAATTTTGATATAAAAAGGTTCAAATCAGTAATTAAAACCAAGTTACAACTTGTGTTTTAAAACAGAAAAAGAATCCACGGTTACAATATATTCGAGAATGCTGATGCTATATATGTTTTCATGTACAATTTCTCTTCTACACTAAGCCCTATCAGAAAGTCTCTGACTTAAATTAAATGGGAGAAGAAAGAAGAAGAACTTACCCGTATAGATAGTAAAAAAATGATAGAAGGTAGAATGCTAATTTGCACCATCCTTCTTTCTGGCAATAGGCTAAAATATCTGCATTCATGATGGTTGTAGGGTCATACAGACCAGGGCCGCTCATCACAGGTCTGCTCATGTACCTGGAAGCGATACACAATTAACAACAGATTTTTTTTTGCAGGGAGAAGAAAACATTGTTTCGTGCACCCTATCCGCGCACCCACCATTTCATACCAAATTGAGACAAGGAATTGCATCCATCACAGCAACTCCATAAAGGAGCCATGAGCTGCAGTGGCAGCACAGAGCTCCCAGCTGAAGTTCGAAGGCTTTTCAGGAGCTTCTACACCCAGTGCCACGGGAGCTGCCGCGCCGTGAGTCATGCCAAACTCTGCTGTACACCCGCAGGGTATCAGACAAGTTTGCAAGTTTATATCTCATTTTAAAAGAAAATGGTGTTTTGATTCAATGATAAATGGTACTGCTCAAAAACAGGTTGGAGAAGACAGAGAAGAGAGCAGCACACAGAGCCACAGAACGGCTGGGGTTGGCAGGGACCTCTAGGGATCATCCAGTCCAGCCCCTGCTCCAGCAGGGACACCCAGAGCAGGGGCACAGGGCGGCATCCAGGCGGGTTGGAAGATCTGCAGAGAAGGAGCCTCCACAGCCTCCCTGGGCAGCCTGTGCCAGGGCTCTGGCACCCTCACAGGAAAAAGGTTTTTTTTTCCCTCAAATTCAGCTGGAGCTTCCTGTGTTTTAGTTTGGGGCTGTAAGCAGAAAAAGAGCAGTTGAGTGGGAGCTGAAGATTATGTCACTTTAAAATTGGATTTCTTGCTGATCTGAATGAAATTTTTCTGTATTTCTGGTTGTCAGAAATACAGAGTGTTGTAGCAATGGTGGTTGTCAACCAGGACTCCCAAATCCATCTCCACGGAGCTGCTTTCCAGCAAGTCAACCCCTAATCTGTACTGGTGCCTGGGGACATAACCCTATCGCCTCTAATCACCACTAAAACGAGTGCCGGCCAGACGCTGGGGCACCTGGGGCTCAGGGACACGAGGACAGCAGGGCTGACACCGTTACCAACGGTCCCCACTGCCCAAATACCTGTGACACTGCAGCCCTGTCCCTGCTACGCGGAATGCACACACATCAGCGCTCGGTTCTTGCACAGCAGGACAAGATAAAGATGTTACTGAGAAGGCAATGCAATGATTCGTATTTAACCATGATAACAAGCTTTCCAAATGCTGCCAAGCAGCAGAACACTTGACAGGAAGCACTGCAAGAGGAGAACGAGATACAACGAGCACGGACACACCGGACTCGCCAAAATTACCTCCAAATATGATAAGCCAACAAAGGCATATTGAGACCCAGTGTAAGCCACTCTGCTGCACACAGAAACATAACACAGAAGAATGCATGGATGAGGTACTCTGGAAGTACAAGCTGCAAAAGAAAAACATGAGTCACAACTTCTGTTTATTCAAACTTAAGAAATTTATTCTGAAGTTACTGTTTAAAAGTATTATTAAAAACACTAATAGGAACAAGACAACTGTGGAAAGTGAAAACAACAACTGGCAATATATGTGTTGCTGTTTTCACGTAATACTAATTAACCAAAAATAAAATTGTATAAGGTGAAAGATGCAGAAATATCTATCACTTTGATTACCTAAGTGCACTGTTCCCAGCTTCTACACTTTTTACACAGTCCTCATAACAGAGGAGGGCATTGAGATATTTCTCCTCATGCAACACAGAAATATCGATGGGAAACGCGCTCCCTGCAGCAGGTCTTCTGTATTTCACTATTTGCAAGCTTTGTTCTAACCCATCCGTGAGCTTTCAGGCTGTTACCAAACGAACATCCTAGGCAAAGCTTTATCAAGCAACAGGAGCAGCGGCGTCGCTGTGCGCTGAGCGGCGTCCGGCACCCTCGCAGGCAGGCAGCAGGAGCAGCCCTGGGCACGCTCTCCTTGCGGCCCACGGGCCGGGCGCCTGCTCGGGTCCCTGACATGCAGCCTGGCGGCACCGGGCGCCCCAGAAGTGCACAGAGCTACTGTGCGTTACTGTAAGTCACGGGAAGTGTGACATGCCAGGTAGCACCGGTGGTATTAGATGGAGTAACATGGAGAGAGACGTAGATTAAATGCAAGCCAAGAGCTAGCGGAACCTCGTACCCAGCACAGGAGTAAAATTACCTAAAGCCGTTTGACCCCAAAATGGCACCTTTACTTCCTTTGGCGGGACAATTCAGAAAGAAGCAATTCTAACATTTGGACTGCTCAAGTCAGGATCACTAAAAGCTCTCAAGATCTGAACTGGATCAAGTCAGGATCACTAAAAGCTCTCAAGAAAGAAACTTCCATTTCTAAATCAAGGATTAAAATTTGTGTGCGTGTGTGTGTGTGTGTGTGTGTGTGTATATATATATATACACACATATGCATATAGACATGTGCATATATACATAACACTCTTTGGTAGGATGAGTACATGAAAGATTCAGTGTTTTGCAATTTTTCCTTCATTCTGTCTATGCAGATGCTTCCTTTAAACACCAAAAATACCTTCCTAGAAATCGCCAAGCAGCAGCAGACTGACATCCTCACGCTCTACTCTGCTGCTACATTCTGTGTCTTTCAACAAAGCACCAAACAAAAAACTGCATCAGCATCAACAGAGATGAGCTGTCATCAGGAAATGCAGATTCAAGGTCTGTTTTTTTTTTCATTTGTTTGTTTTTTAGTGATTTTTTTTCAGGTGGTTCTTGGTGTACTTACCATTGACAACTTGGCAATTATAAGAAAAAGGGGGGGGAGGGAAACTAGCTACCCAAAACACAGTGTGCTTGGCAGCCCACTGAAACGGGTTTAGCGGGTCTGAAATATGTAAAATCTATTAATTACACATCTCAAAACACATTTTTCTTTATATCTTGTGTTTTATACCCTGCACACGCACCAGAATACCTGCCTCTTACAAATCTTATCACCAGATTTTGTGTTCCTTCCTTACTCCTTCCACTTTTCTAGGAAAATAACCATCAAAACAGCTCATACTCTATCCTGATAGTTATGATGAAGAAACCTTGCTGCACCCTCTAATAGGACCAGAAAAAGGGAAGGCATCAGTGGTGTACTGAGCAGTTACTGTTTGGGGCTGATCTTGCTATCAATTCTCATTATCAGAGTGATTGAATTTTTGTACAGAAAAACAACACTTCTGTGCATTTGCCCAGAATCTGTCCATTTGTCTACTATATTTTCTTAAGAGTTCGGAACTTAACTTTACTCTTAACATCTAATCAACTTTGAGAAGACCTGAAAATATCAAGTTATTAAATATTTTCCTTTCACAAAGCTATCATATAAGTAAACACTCCATGCATGGGGGTTAACAGAAGGTTAATATTTGCCTCCAACATGCGCATTATAAAACTTAATTGGCTGTGATAAGATCATAATGCATAAATGCAATGAGAGTTTGCCCTCCCCCGTAGCCTGGCAGAAATGGCTGTAGAACAGAGCAAGCAGGGGAAACTGTTAGATGCGCATCGATGCGGGCGGCAGAGCCGGCTCCCCAGGAGGAGCCCTCTCCTCTCCTCTCCTCTCCTCTCCGAGTCACGAGGTGCCTGTTTAACTACGCTCCCCCCCAGCAAATTCATTTGTCACTTTGTACAATTCACTCTTCAAAGCGCTACTGGAAGTTGCTGCTCCGGCAATACCAGAACCTCAAGCAGGAGGTGCCACTTCACCAGGGTATGTGATATATAATACTAATAAATATTAGTGTCCTGTCAGAGACACCACCAAATAGCTGGCTCAGACCCTTTTTGCAAGGGAATAGTTTGCTCGAACCCTTTATGCAAATTGATGGTTGTCAGATTTGCATCCCAAAAAGGACGCCAAGAGACATGCCCAGTCCTGGGACACAAAAACTGAAAATAAGGCCTGCGTTGGTATACCCACCAAAATCCTCACACCAAGCTAGAACTTAAGCAGTCAATGTTTAAAAACAACTAGTCTCCTACAACCTCAGGGTTTAATAAATACTGTGTGAAAAATACCATCTATTTCTATCTCGGGCCAATTGCTGGGATGTAGGAAACGGGCATGTAACAGTTTTCCCCACTTCACCTGGTAAGCAAGCAAAGTTGTTTGGCAAAAAACATGGGAGTTCATGAAGTCGCCGTTAACCTCAACAGACGAATAACAAGCAGATGAACAAGCACAATAAACAAAACATCTTAGGAGTAGTACAAATGTTCCTAACAAAATGAAGTGGCGTTAAAAACATTCAACTAAAGAGCAGTACACACCTTTAGTGCAATTTTGACTCTTTTAATCTTTTTGACCTTTTCAACTGTCTTTGTGCCGAAAATGCAGAAAGCAGATTGAAAGAACGTTAGTACGACAGCTGACAAGATCACCAACAGATTAATAACAGTCAGAATATTCACGCCTGAAGGGAGGCAACAGTCAGATAAAGAAGCCTCCCTAGGAGCTCTGTCAAACGGCTACGTTTCATCCACCCAAGTGCATCTCTGCTGCCTGTCAGGGTGGAACTGAGCGAGAACAAGCCCTGGGCCTAAACGCACGGAGGAAATTGTTCATCGCCAACTTACAGGATTGAGCGTGTTACATTGGTCTATGGGATTCTTGTAATCAGTCTTCAGCTCGTCAAATGCTATAATCTGGAATAAAAACGAACGGTTACGATTCTGCAACGCAGAAGAAGCAAATACACCATCCACGAGAAATAACCTATGGGTACGGGGCCGCGGCTGCGTCTTCAGGACCCCAACGCTGCAAGCGTCGGCGCGCGGCTCGGCTCGCCGGGACGCGGGAGCAGCCGCGGGAGCAGCGCTCGTGGGGACGGGGATCACGACGCGGGGACGCGCGGGGCCCGGG